ACAAAAAAAAAAAAAAAAAAAAAAAAAAGGAAAAGAAACTTCTTCAGACTTGAAGTCCTAATCACTTGGAAGCAGTAAAATGAAATGACCAACAGATGGCAAAAGCAACAAAAGGGAGAGCAGAAGTCTGGCAAGGATTTCCCAGAGATTCTTTTAAAAATCATGAGGAAATCAGGTCTTTTGAGTGAAGGCCACTGAGTAGTGGGCCTGTTTGGAATGTGGGTCAACTAAGGAAACAGAACTGGGAAGATGCTTGAGTCACTATTCAGGACTGAGAATTTGGCATGAGTTGTTTTTGAGGGAGGTCATGTGGGCACCTTGACTAGCTACATCTTTTCCCCACCTTCTTGATTTTGGCAGGGGCAGGGGCTGACTTTGTGATGCTGGGTGGCATGCTGGCTGGGCACAGTGAGTCAGGTGGTGAGCTCATTGACAGGGATGGCAAGAAGTACAAGCTTTTCTACGGAATGAGTTCTGAAATGGCCATGAAGAAGTATGCTGGTGGTGTGGCTGAATACAGGTATATATGGAGGCCCAGCAGCTGAGGGTTTTTGGAGAAGGTATCTATGTAGGGTGGTGTCAGAACTCATGGCTCATAGGAGAAAACTCTACAATTCCCAGGAGGAAATGTTGAAATGGGGCTAAATGGGGCCAAATGCTAAAGAGCATTAGGCTTAAGGAATCCAGAACAAGAAGGTAATGTAATAATGTTTTTCTTATTCCAAGGGCTTCGGAGGGAAAGATTGTGGAAGTCCCTTTTAAAGGAGATGTAGAACATACCATTCGTGATATCCTAGGGGGAATCCGATCTACATGTACTTATGTGGGAGCAGCTAAGTTGAAAGAGTTGAGCCGGAGAACTACCTTCATCCGAGTCACCCAGCAAGTGAATCCAATCTTTGGTGATGCATGTTAGACCTGAGCAGTTCTGGCACTGGAACTCCACCACAGGGCCACCCAAGTGGCTCCTCACCCAGCTCCTGTGCCTGTGTACGACTCTGTGGCTTCCTCTCATCTCACTGCTGAGGGCTCCTGCAGTACCTCTAGTTCTTTATCTGCACGCACAAAATGCCCAAGGCACTCTCTGGGGCAGAAGTTAGGAAGAAGACAAAAATGAGGAAATGAAGATGTTCTAATGTGAAGCTGGGGACCCAGAATGCTGAAGATTAAAAGGATTGATTGATGTGTGTTTTATATGGTCTTGATCTGGAAGAAGCAAGCATTTACAATCATGTTTTTAATTAGCCTCATTAAATGACATCCACAGGTATCTCAAATTCAAAAGTGTTAAAATAATAAAGAGAGCTCATGGATTGTAAAGAGATGGTGGATTTCTGCGCAGTACTGGCATCTGAGTATTGTTCCACCATGGTCAGAGTAGGAACAGCACAGACTCCCCGGGATCGCCAGAGTAACCCTTCTCAGCACCTGTGATTAACACTTTCCAAGGAAGGAAAAAGGCAAAGGGGCTCCTCCAGCTCTAACAA